CTTCAAATCATGACCGAACCAAACCATCGTGATTTCATTTAAAAGAAAACCAAATCAATTATCTTGTGTCATTTTCATATGTTTTGGCTTAATGCCTGATGGGCATGTTATGGATGCAAATAGTTGGTAGGCTACACATTGTTCGAGTGCACCTTTACTATAGAGTACAACTTTTAAGTTAGTTGGACAACATTGTTCTTCATCATGTTTTGAACAGAATTTGATACATTTTTTTTTTTTTTTTTTTTTAATTTGCATTTTTGAACAGTGATTTGAAGAAGAAAATGTTGCTAAAAATAAAAAAAACTTTGCATATAATCAAATGCAGTGATCCAATAAAATTAAAGTAGAAACTATGTATGTTGATGGGAGGGCCAATAAACAGCTCCTTCTCTTGGACAAGGCAGAGGAGCAGGTTGTGCCATGAAGGTAGGATACTGCTGTCCTGGCATTACTACTGAGAAATCTGATGCATGTGATGCTTGTACCTGCTACAAATTTTTGCCTATTAAAAATTTTATATACCAATTCTTTGTTCAATGGATTTTCTCATGCATTTTCTGTTTCAATTTTTTCACTTATAATTACTTGTAAATCTTTTCACTTATAATTACTATGACTGTATTTGCTTTATTCTTCTATATAAGCGCAGAAACTCACAAATCAGATTCTAAAAATCTATTTCTTAAACTGGGAAGTGTAAGATGGAAAAACAGAGACTTACTGAGTGTGAATCTCCAAGTTTCTGCACTTGTGGTGATTCCAAGTGTGCGATAGAGTTGTCTTGAGATGACGAAAAAGATGCATTTGGCCTGAACAGATGCTCAAATATAGCCATTATAAGAAACATTGATATCAATATTGCTGTAGCCACAAAGCCAAAAGAAATTGCATTCATGGATGTGCCAAAGCTATTCCATGGACCTTCTCTGCCAACTTCTGTTTGAGATGGACTAGGATATGAACTACCGTAGATGTTCCATGGCTTCGGCCGTCCAGAATTAAGCTCACTCATAACTACTTTTCTGCTTAAATCTCTCGAAAGAAAATTCTTTTGAACTAATTTTGACACCGTCCCAACAACGAACACTCTATTGCAAGCTGAGGCTCTGCCTTTCCTCGAGGCGAATCAACCAATTTGGGGTTTTAAGAAAAAATCTCTACTCTTTCAATTCTGCTCCAGAACTTAATGATCTTGATCTACGAGACGAGATATCAGAAGCTCTTTTCAGCATTTTTATTCTATACCCTGAAAAGTGATCAAGATCTCTCGGATGGTCAAGATTCAGGAATTAGTACAATTAACGCAAGTAGAGAATCTATTTCAGTTTCAAAAGGAAAACAGATTATTAAGAGGAAATGATCCTTGATAGTTCTAATATATAATTTTTACTAGAAACAGATATAATCAGCAAAAAGAGACTTTGGATGGCCATTAGAAATGACCAATGGCTCACGCTGTAAGATCATCCATAGGACAATATTACTGTCGAAACATTCCCTATATGATGCTTCTGATGATTAAATATTCTGAATTGATGCTAAACATAGAAACCGAATGATGCAAAATGGAAAAAACCAAGAAAATAATAGATGATTACCAGAAATAGAATTAGTACAGGACAATCTTGCAGAGGTTCTTAGAAAACCTTCATTCGCATGTCGATGTTGAACCAAGAAAATGATATACAATATAAAAGCATAAACCTAGGTTTTCTTACAACAAATTGCAAGACAGTTTCCTTTTATATTTAGAAACAGGAGAAACCATTATCCCAAATCTTGTTAAATAAGATTTCTGTCATATAAGAACAAGACAGCCCTATCCCTCCAAAGCTTACCTAAGATGCAGCTCAATTCTAGCTATATAACAGCTTTATAGAGAATAGAAAATGTAAAGAGAAAGATGGAGAGTATATATGATAATCTCAGTTGAAAAACCTTTTTATGGGTGGTACTAATCCTGATGCCTAACTTAATGAGTACTGTACCTTGCCTGGAGAAGCAAACTTAAAAATAAATTGTAAACATGGGCCATCATGTCGGGTGAAGCGAAAGAGGTTGCTTTGAGGCTTGTTAGAAGCTTTCGATTTTGAAACACTGTAGCCTCCATTTGACCCTCTTTCTTTCAAATTTTAATGTTTGGAACAGCATTTTGTTGGAGAATGTGTGATTGAAAAAGAAAGAAAAGTATTCGATTTACGCGTAACATTATTTTATGAAAGATTATGTGGTTGAAAGTAAGAGTGAGAAGAAAAAACTGAAAGAGAGGGGGCCAAATGGGGGCGTAGTCTGTAGGCCTAGAGGTGTAAATCAGACCGTGGCTCTACAATTTTGAGGCTGCTTGGCAAAATCAATATTGAAAATATCATTTGTACAGAATTTTTTTTGTACCTACTTGACGGATGCATTGTTTGTAGCAAATGATTGGGTGTAAAAATTGACCGTTTTTAACACAGTTCAATGATAGTCAAGGAAGTGGGCAAATAATTTTGTACACCGAGCATGATTGAATACAATTAGTCTAGAAGTGTAAACTAAGTCGTGTCAGAAGATTTTGAGGTGGCATGGCTCAGTATCCGGCATGCCTAAAATTATATGGGTCGACACCTCCCATTAGCGTGACCTGTTGGCTCTTTCCAGGCAAGGCATACGAACTTAGCAATTTAATATTTTTGCCTACATTTTATTCTTAATTTTTGTTTAAGTACATATCTGAGTGATCCATGAGGATCATGGACCTCTACGGTCGACTGTGGCATGATTTGACTGTAGAGTTAGGCCGTCACACGACACAACACAACACAACCCATCACGAGTCGAGGCGACAGTGCATATTTTTACACCCCAAAGTTAGCCATAAGAATGCATCTTTGCTAAACCTAATCAGGCCAGCCTAGTTGCATTACTGAATAGATAGAATTGACAGATGTTTGCGGTTAGAAACTTTTGAAATTAAACACAGCCAAACAAATTTGATGGGATTTCAATTATTTCATTCCTTCCTTTCTTTTCTTGTATCTTTAATTCTCGCAGTTCCAAAAAAATCCTTTAATTCTCTCGTCATTGACATAAAAGTGCACGTCGTTCCCTTTATGAGAGTCTGTAGCATTAAATTTGTTCCATTTCTTAACCAAAAATGTAAAAATTTGGAAACGTTGTTGAGAATTCCTAAAGCAATATAATGACAGATGAAATTCTCAAGAAACTTTCATTACAAATGGATTCATCATTCAAGAGTTGGTAACATATCACATAATAACCAATAAGATAAAGATAGCTGTCAATAAATTGTTAAAGAATAAAGAATAAAGGCTGCAGCAAGTAACATTTAAGTTTATAATGGTGCACTATGATTGAGCAGGTGTGGAATCAAATCACATTATGCAGTACAAGTGTAGAGGATTTCAAAAAGAGAGAATAAATGTTGGATGTGTTACAGATTTGCACTATCTCAACACCCCATTATTCAAGTAAAAGAAAAAAGTAGTGTGTAGAGCTAAGAAAAGGAGGCGATGTAGATCACTGCAACACAGACGTGACTCGTCATGATAATAGATAACAAATAAAAACAAGATAATTGTCGTGTCACATGTTGTTCTACTAGCAGACTTAAAGAAATCGAGCTAGGCCAGCCTCAACACAAGACAATTAAGGGGTAGGTGCCTGTCCCACAGCCCTAGAGCTAGGCCTTATGAAAGGGCCCTTATGAACTTGGTGAATAATACAAACAAACATGAGACAGCTAATTTGAAAAGCTACGATACCACTTGAAGGTTCTATATAGCCAATTTATTTTGACCCAACGTGCGGAATTATACAATTAAAAGCAATAAGTTACTTTTTAATTGTTTCTAGATAGTTAATCACACAGTAAAATTATCCTACGTTGAATTGTCACAATATCAATAAAGTAGTAAATAACACAAGAATTGTTGACGAAGAAAATCCAAGTGAGTAAAAACTTTGGGACGAAGCCGGTAGCTTTCACTATAGACAATAATGAATTTACATTACAATCCGGCCTAGAAACTCCACTAGACTTGCTGATTTGATTTCTGCAATTTTCAAAACTCACTAGAACATGCTTCACCCATGCATGTTCTCGATCTTTTGGAATTGTCCATCTCCTGTGGATCACCAAGAACGCCTCGTTTTTGTATTCTTCCAGTGCTTCTGGTCCAATTTCCCTCAATTCTTCAACAACTTCTGAAAGTTATTGAGAAAGTATCTTCCTGTATTTATGTAGGAAGTGAGTGTTTTGGATTCTAGGAATTTAATGTTTTTCCAAAAGTTGTGATTGTACGAATTCAAGAATAAAATGATAAATTTAAAGGCTAGAGTAGGTTTTTGAATATTTGAATGATATTATGGAGAAAGCATACAAGAAACAACCACAACTTTGGGAAAAACATCAAATTCATAGAATTCAAAACATCTACTTTCTACATACATACAGGAAGGTACTTTCTCAATAATTTTCAAAG